TTATAGCAATGAATATTTGAGCCTGACAACAGGTTTTGATCTTTGGTTTCATTCTATAATACTGGACTTATTTTTCTATGAAAGTTTGAACTTTGAGTGTTTAAACAAGAGGGAGACATGTGAAAATGTTAATGCTTGTCTGAGAAAAGTGTATAAAGTGTGTAGTGTTTTTTTTTTTTTCCAGCCTTAAAACATCTATATTAATTGTAAAAACTAAAACCGACTACGCAGATTTCACCTATTGATTTTCACCTATCGATTTCACCTGTATAGCTCCTGTGGATAACAAGGGACCACTGTATTTTCATTTACTGCAATATATACTGCGATATAAATGTATTTTCGCAAGATTACTTGAGTATCTTGTAAAGAAATTAAAATTTTAAATTGACTGGGATGGTTCTGTAGGGGATCATATCCACATAAAATATAAACAAAATATACATAAAACTTAAACACCACAGATACAAAAACAAAGATTTATGATTTTCTGAGGTTTCAAACAGTGTTCAGAAACAGAAATTAAATAATCACAACATAATGATAATAATATTAGCACTGCATCCTTTAAGTAAATAATTATATAACGTACACTTTATAAGTGTACAAACGTTTAACTTACGGTAACCAAATGGTTTAAATTTTCTTGAAATGCTTACAGTCACAGATCTTAAAACAGATGCAAATAACACACTTTCACTATAAGGATTAAGATTTTAAATGACTCCACTACGTTGTTAATTGTAATGCCTGGTCAACAATAACCCCAACTACATTGCAGATGTCTTTGATATGACTGTTTCGGATTCGCACATTACAATATCAATGATGAAACGATATATTGTGCAGCCCTAATTGTCATACAAAACTGTATTAGATTTTAAATGATTAAAAGCATATTGCTTACAACGGAGTAAAACTTTGACAAATAAAATTATATTGAGCATGGTTTCCGCTACATTCATTCTTTTATGGCAGGCCGCCACACCAAAATGTATCATGCCACGGCTACATTACAGCTTCTCATTCAAAACATTCAGTCATTGTTGTTGTTTTTAATAGCGGGTTACAATTGCACCAAAACGTATTAAAAGGTAAGTGAATTATAACAGCACAGACTTTTCTGTAACCGTATAGTGCTGTGCGTTATTTGTTTAACCCTTTGAGGTTATGTGCTGACTGATTGACTGACAGGTGCGTGATGCGTGGGGGCAGCAAACACGACGTAGCTTTCAGTTGAGAGGAACACAGTTTGCATAATTTTAATTTATTTATAGATAAAGGTCTGTGGTTCTGCATACAATTTCTCGATCTTGCTGGAGTTTATAGCCGTTTCACTTTACTTCAGGACGCATCAATGCTGCACTGTAGGTCTATTGGAGACCGCCATAAATATTCCTAGCAAATCTAATAAATGTTGGAGACATACCCAATACATAAACACACTAAATCGCACTTCAGCAGTGTTTATTTGAGAGCGCACAAGAAGATCTGCACTCTAGCAGCGTATATTTGAGGGTGTGTACAAGAGGTTTTGCACACGAGCAAATGAAATCGGCGCTCAAGCAAAAACTTTTGCATGCTCGTATTACATAAAACGCAAGATCGACTTGTAATACTGCGATCACGACATTTGTCCATTTGTCACTGAAATAACGTCATTGGTAGTTGGTAGATTTTTGTAAAAGATCTGCCACCACAGCTGGAAAAACCTCTAGAGGAAACACTGTTGAGTATTTTAGGGCAGCACTGTGATGCTTAAATGCAGTCTTTTAATGTTAATGTCCTCAAATGATTCTTGTCATAAACATGTCTTGATAGATATACTACTGTGCTACATTTCATTTTAGTGGGAGACTTGCAAGTCATTGTAAAAATTTCTGAAAAAGATTTTTTTTTTTTTACCCTAAAGATTAGAGCTGCACGATTCTGGCTGAAATGAGAATCGCGATTTTTTTGCTTAAAATAATTTCTGCATATATAATATGATATTACTGTATTCTGTATATGATTCTGTATAAGTAAAATAAAGGTATGGTAAAAACAAGCATATGGCACAAAAACGATAATTATATTATGTGTAGGTTTACTGGTTTCTATAAATAATTCTATTCTACTTATAATAATTCTGATGTTGAATTATTATGTTTGAGATATATGCTTGCAATCTGTCATATTAGACAAATTTATTCACTAGTAAAATCAGACATTTGCCATTATCGGATTATATTCAACATTATATAGGCTAGAGTAGTTATACTGACATTGTAAACATTTATTTTCATGCACAACTGTGTGTTCGCTATGAAAGAAAAAACATATCAAACGCTTGCCGTAATCATAACTCTAAAATGCGATATGATCATTTAAATGAAGTGCACACTTTCGGTTTCATTCTGACTGCTAAATGCTGTTCATACTATGCACGCGGCTCCCAAACGATCACTCTGTGCCACAAACTGAATATTATTCACATCTGTATTACCTGTTACTCGCAACATATGCAGGTTCTGTTCACTAAAGTAGACTCGCGCGCGTCTATCATTAAGTAGAGCGCGCGCGCGCGCGCCCTCTCTGTGATAACAGCTCACGGTCAGCAGCTCACGTCACGTGTGATTTCCCGATCGCGAAAACATCATTATATTACGACAAAAAATGACATTTTTTAGGTGAATTAGACCTTATAAATACAGTATGTGACTCATTCAATATCATTTGGAGGTGTCAGTGTCACTGAGCAACGTGTGTGAAACAATGAAAAGACTCGTGCAGCCGCCTTTTCTTCTCTCCTGAAATATGATTGAAACAATTGTAGAAATGCTGGATTAAGATTGTCTAGGGGGTCGAATCGAGATTGCGATCTTTTAACGATTAATTGTCCAGCTCTACTAAAGATGAGTTTTTAGATTTACTAAACTGCCATTGTTTTGATGCTTGAAATAACTTTTTGCCACTTAGCCATACTCAGAACAAAGGCATTTACTGATTTATCAAATGGCTGTTTTAGCGATATCAAGTTTGTGGGATAGGGGAAAGGTGTAACCAAACACGGTGAATCATCACAATGCTCTTTTCTTTAGTTAGATGTCACAAAACAGGGCAGGGAACAAAAAGGTGACGCGCTGTTGTGAAGTGACCTTCTGTGCCGAAAGCTCACACGGCGGTCAGCACATTGACAGGCTTCCAGCGCAGACTTCTGGCATGAAAGGAAGATTTTCAGAGCCTGCTGTGCGTTTCATCTTGTTTTTCTGAACTGAGTCTTGTACGGGACGATTGCTTGACCTATTCGCTTAGCGCTTAAAACAATCCCTCAATTGTGAACATTTGTATCACAGAATTAGACTGAAGTTAATGAATCATAGTTGCGATCGTTCATTATTCTGGCATACAACTTGGGCTGGGTGACATATTAAATATTTACGTTCCACTTTATATAAGGTGGTCTTAACTAATATGCACTTAAACTAATCGATCATTTCCTACAACATACTTATTGTGTAAAGACATTTTAACATGAATGAAATACCTGCATGTACATCTTTACTTACACTGTTGACCATCCCTTACACCTTAACCTACCCTTAAACACACCCATACCCCAAAACCTGTCCCTAATCCTACCAGTATCCCACCTCAAGTACACCACAAATGTTCTGGAATACACTATTCATGCACAGTAAGGACATTGTATTGTGCAGCATGGTGGCGCAGTCGCCTCACTGACTGTACTAGGCACTTCTGTGTGAAGTTTGCATGTTCTCTCTCTCTCTCTCTCTCTCTCTCTCTCTCTCTCTCTCTCTCTCTCTCTCTCTCTCTCTATATATATATATATATATATATATATACATACATACATATATTTCTATATATTCATATATATATTTATATATATATATATATATATATATATATATATATATATATATATATAGTTTAATAAACTTTCATTCTGGATGTAATTAATCACAATTCCAGCACAAAAAAGTGCAAATTGTCAGATTTTCTAGATTTACTAGATATAGGTTTCAGTAAAATGTTTATATATATTTTTTTACTTCATAAAATCTTATTTTATAACATGCCTTCCAATTTTACATAAAATTATCAGATTTTTCAGAAAAAGTCATTTGATCAGAATTTTTTATATATATATATATATATATATATATATATATATATATATATATATATATATATTTTTTTTTTTCTTTTCTTTTTTTTCTGATCAAATGACTTTTTTCTGAAAAAATCTGATATTTTTATTTCTGAAAATTATTCTGATCAAATGACTGGTATTTGTGAAACAAAATCCTGTAAATTACAAATTTTTTGACTTTAATCTGGAAGAGTTTAAAGAATAAAACAAATTACATTTAACTCCAACTCATAACTATAAATCACATATTCAGAGAAACTGAGAATATTCAAGTCATCTGTTTTTGTTTCATGTTATTCAAGGCATCAGACTTTTGTGTAATGGGCTACATCCACACAGACTTTTAATTTCAGCCAGCCAGCCTCAGCGCTTCCAGTAAACTGTCATGTAATAATTTAAAATTGACACGTTTAAGGTCTGGTTTCTTTTAAAATCAGTGATCTTCACTGTCTGATTGATATACGATATAAAGAGTTCCTGGACTTGCCTGCTTATCCTGATGGCGCTAGCGGTCTTTCATCTGGCTCTACGCTTGAACATCTAAATGAACGGTTTAGTCTATTTAACTGATTGTATTTTAATCCCATTACAACATCGATGCTGTAAAAGGAACCTTATGAAATTGAAAGTAGTCACATTAAGCTTTCACTGGAAGTTTATCATTGGCTGAAAAACCCTAGCTGTGCATAAACCCCATTGTGTTGTTGATTAAACAAGTGCTAAAAGTCCCATTTATCACAGATTCAAAAGCAGTTCACTCTATATCATTCAGCTGAACCACACTTCAGTCACTGTGCTAAAGTTCACTCAACCCAATTAAAATACTTAAAAGCGGCATACATACCTGGCTGTAAGTCACTACTGATAAGTTGTTTTGGAGACCATTTGGTGTAATATTTACAGAGCTGTGATTGAGTCCATTTTGATCTTGCTGAATGGAGTCCAGTGGGGCCTCCCAGGGGCCCCCAGGGTCTTTTAGATGATCCTCATTGGTGTCCTGCTTGTTCTTCTGTGGTGAGGCGAAAGGGTTGTAGTCTCCCTCCAGACTGCGGTGTGGCTGCGTGTTGAACTCCGTCTTGAAGGAGGATAGCTGCTGTGTGACGCCCAGCAGGCCTCCCTCCTCCACACTCAAAATCACCCAGATCACATCTGCACAACAAGAGGAAGCAGGTCAGTCACGTGACCCTCCAGTCATTAAAGCTGTAGGGCTAATTATAACTCATTAAACACTTGAGGTAATAAATAAAACTCATTAAACCCAAGACTTTGTTAAATACTTGAGGGTGCAATGAACGCATCCAATAATGTGACTTTCTTTAACCAGTTAAGCTCTGAGGCTATTTGGGGTAATTCCGCCTGAATTTGGCCTTCCGATTTAAAAAGCCAAAAATGTCATTTTACAGAAAACCCTTTGAAATTACAAAAAGAACTGCTGAAAGTGATAAATAGTATTATATATGTTGTCTGTCCTATGATGAACCACCTCAACACAAACTGCTTTTAGTTTTTTTGTTCTAAAACCTGATTTAGAAAGTGTATAACTCAGGCCCTGTATGCTCCATCAAACTGCAGATTGTTTTGATTGTTACCAGCATTTGTCAGGAGACACTAAAATTTTTTTTGTTTGTTTTTATCATGTAGTATCCAATAATTATGTTAGTTTAACCGAAGGGTTGGAAATCACAACTTTTTTGCTTCTGATCTGTGACTTTTACGCACTCTGTTTTGGACACCCCTCTTTCGGTTTGTCATGCAATATCTCAGTCACTGATTGGCTGATCAAGGCTCACAATACATCAGCGTAAAGCCGAGAATCTCACCTTTCCAATGATATGTAATCCATCTGGATAGGTCGAAGCTATCTTATTTTCCTGAATTTTGGAATATCATGACCCTAATTTGATGCGTTTGGCACTTACAAGACACAGCAGGGGTTTACTGATGCACACTTCCTCAGAAAACGCTGAAAATGGATTTTGCAGAGGACAACCTAAGGTAAAAGATGATGTAGCTTGTTTGGCTATCTGTGCTAGCTCCGGCAGCTCACGGAGCAAATAATTAATAATTTCCCTTGTATGTTTACAAAAAACTAGTTTATGCTTTATGATTCATTCGAAGACTGTTGGATATGTGATTGTAAATCAATAAAAATAACGATGGATCCTTATTATTGGGAATGAGAGCTTTAATTTGATGTATTACTTGCCATTGTAGATCGAGATATTATACATTGAGTGTAAATTAAGTGTAAATAACTTCGTTACGGTACAACAAATATCAAAGTGATGTGTATCAGTTGAAAATAGACATTCTAAGCTTTCACCCAGTACGTCATATGGTGTTATTGATGCAGACAGACCTCCTAAATCTATAGTTATTCTCCCGATGACGTCATTTTGTCCACGGTACCGGGCACGCAGAGTTTAACTGGTTAAAGGCTAATGTGTACTAATTTTAAAGTATTAATCACTTTTTGACTACCAATGTGTAAACAGCTAGTAATGAAGGAAAAAAAAAACTAAACAAATAAACACAACAATGAAACCTTGTTTATTTATGAAACCCTGAAGACTAAGTTATATAGAAAGGATTAAGGAAAAATTAAAAATGCTTCTCTTCAGTTTTGTCTCATGAAATATTTCATATTTTTAATATTTGTTTTTCGGTTTTATTTTGAACAGGCAGAAGAAGTGTTTGGTTACAGAACTAAAAAGCTTCTTGTGATGCAAAAGTACAAAATAAATAGATTAATAAAAAATAACACTTTGTAATTAGGAGACTGCCTATCAAACTTTTAAGGGTTGAGGTCAACTCTCTCCTAAAACAACGGAAAAACAGTAATTGTTATTAATAATTCATTTAAGACTCAGTAAGCTTCAACGTTGAAATGCTAGCATGAGAGGTGCATCCAAAACAGCGTGTGCAGTGGACAACTCTTGTTCATGCTCTTCTGCGTGAGCACAAGGCGCTCAAACTGGCTTGTGTGCGCACGAGATGGGAAAGAGTCTTTTACTTCCATTGTTCTACGTAAAACCAGCTTGATGGATGTGCATGACCATTACATACTCTTGAAATATTTTTTAAAACGAACTACACTTTCACATGCAGCACTACTCATTAATGTCACTTGACCAGTCAGAAGAACTTGCAGGCTTCTGTTTACAGTAACAAGTTGGCATGGAAGTTTTTATTTCACTCTAGCATGGTTTAACAGTTTGTGAGGACTGCATCTCACGTTTTCAGATGCAAAAATGTGTTTGTTGTGAATGGACCCTCAGTTTTTGCACTGCTGTGGCCTTTTTTTGACTGGCACATCTGGGGCCTTATGCATCAATGCTGCGTATGCACAAAAACTTGCCGTACGCCAGATTTCACGCTCACGTTTGGATTTACTAACGATGAAATTATCGTGAGAATGTGCGTTGGTCCGCACCAACTTCATGTCTGGTGTACCTGTATTTCTTGTGTGTTTGTTTTATTTACATTGGCGACTCTTAGAAGCAATTACACACTTTGCACACTACAAAGTATCGCAACAACACATGTGAAAAATAATTATAATTGATAAAATGGGTTAATTGATGGGTTTTTCCTTTACCAATTATGTGATTTAGAACATATAAAAGCATTTGCAAATGTATTCAACCCTCTATGCCAATGGCAGTGTTGGCCTTATTAGAGGACATTGAAGGCTCCAAGGTGACAGGGTGCGCGATGGTTGGCTTCTTGGTGAGTGATGTACTTAAAGATATTAGTCCAGCTAAGATTTTATTTTATTGAGCGTAATTATTTAACTGCATATCAGGAGAGTGCGGTTATCCATTAAAGACGTGGCTGTTAATCCCCTTCAACAACCCACAAACTGACCAAGAGCACAGATACAATGATGCCCATTCTCGCACTCTGTCAGTTGTAGAGCAGGCGATTGGGCAGCTGAAATGCCGGTGGCGCTGCCTTGATAAGAGCGGAAGGGTGCTGCTATACCGCCCTAACAAAGTGTTCCTCTAATACATCTGTGTCTCCCACAGACACGGATACTACTCCAGACAGTAAAGTGTCGCCCACAATTGAGGCAACTCTCTCCTCAAAGGGTGTTAGTTCAGCATGTCCTGTTCCCTCGCCTCTTCGGACCTCACTTTGGCCCCATTTTCACTGTCAGGTCTTGATGCCCAATTCCGATTTGTTGTCTATATCTGATTTGCTTGCCTGTCTGTTTACACGTTGTTTTAATTGTGACCCCAAATCCAATTCATGCGTTCACACTTGCCTTACAATTTACGATGTCGCGCATGCATAAAGCTTAAAGGCGGTTTCTAGCATTTGAGCCAAGATAGAAGAAATTATCTTGTTTTTAGCTCTGTGAAATATGCGAAGTGTAGTATAAGCAGGGTTTAGTCCAGATTTACCCCCACGCAGTTTATGTAATGGTATGGCCCTGATGTGTGTGTGTGTGTGTAATTGAAGAAGATGTAGCCTTTGCCTGTGTGTACACTGGTGTTGGAGAGAATAAGATATTCTATGTGAAGCCGCAGTGCGTGTATTAATAGCGACAAAAAAACAAAGTTACAACACAAAGTTAGTCCAACTTTAAAATGATTTTGAGGCGGAGGTGGGAAAGGGCCGTCGTCGCAGCTTGCACTTATGGTTTATTTGCTTTAATAATGTCCTCCACCCTTCAGAGGAATGTGTGGGTATGAGAGAGATCTCAGGTCTGGTGGGAGCAAACTGTGGCGACTGACCACTTTCCTCCTCTGTGTTTCCTCTGATGTTGTTTACTGCGTCGGCATCTCCACACATGATCTTCTTTCTGTCATTAAACCGTGGAAAAGCACCACATTTTCGCAAGTTTAATGATGTACAGAACGGAATGCCTCAATAAATCCGATCTGCCTGTTTACATGACAGTTGCATTGTCACATATGCGATCTATTTCTGATTTATTTCCACATACGAAGGAGGCCTGAAACCGATCTCTGAATATCCGAAGGCATGCGTTTTGTTCATGTTTACACGGTCATAGAACAGATCCGATCTGTGTCACATATGAGCAAAAAAATCGGAATTGGGTCACATTTATCTGGAGCAGTGTAAACAGGGCCTTTGACGGTGCGCTGCTGTTCTCCTCGTAACCTGCACCTTTACATCGGACCATTTCTTTTTTAATTCACTCACAGTGCGATTTTCAAACCCCACTGCGTTAACCGCATCAGCTAAACTGTCCCACTCTATTTTTTTTTCTTTTGTTATTATTCCAGTAAACAAACTTGCAAATAACACAGTTTTTCCCCAGTCTACCTCCAATAGGAGCACTTCCAATTCACATTTAGTGAAGTTTCTCTTCTTGCTTGCTTTTGCCATTGCTTTTTTGATTGGTTTTGCCAAAGTGGAGTCATTATCATAGTTATTAGGGGGTGGAGGCAAGGAGGGGTTTTGTGCACATGTGCTCAGTTTCACGTTTTTTACTCGTAATTCGAAAGTAATACTAATCATTATTGTACAGAAGTTTTGGAAGTGGATAGTAATTGAATATTTTTCTCACACATAAAATAAAATAACTATAGCTGCGTCCCAAATTGCATACTTATGCACTATTCTACACCATTTTGTAGTATAAATAGTGTAAGTAGTGTGTTCACACTAAAAACTCTAAAAATAATAAGTGGACTTTAAATACCCGGATGATGCACTCATTCAGCCGCTAAAATGAAGTGTGGAATGATGGAGACTTCACGCACTCAACGACCGCAGGTTTACTAACGTAGCGGAAGGGGCGGAACTATCGAGCACACATGTTGGATAACTTTATTTATTTTGGATGGTGAAAGCAAAATTCTCCTTCGAGAGTGATTATAGCACCTCCTGATGGTGAATGCGGTTTATACTCATGGCAGGTATTATTTGATAATTCGGTCGTTTATTTCACTGTTTTGACAACCGTCAAACGTCATCAGGGAAACGGGTTGAATTTCCGCTTAGTAAAAAAACATTATTGCCCAATTTGGGACAACAATACATACATGTACTATCCTGCTGAGTGTGTAAGTGCATAAGTACATAGTGCATAGTGTAAAGTGCGCCAGTTGGGACGCAGCTAACGACTAAAAGCTTGTTCATGGGATTGATTTAAAAATATAAGACATGAACCCCAACTTTGAAAAACACAAGTGAAATTCTCACAATACCAAGCACTGACCCTACTACACTAACTTTACTACAAAACGCAACATTGCTTGTTTTGCATAGTATACTTTTTTTAAATGTATATTTAATAGCTCAATATCTTATCACACATTGCGCCTGTACCATCATCATTTGCATCTCACCTCCGTAGAAGAGTCCTGTGGCTGTGCACATTCTCCACTGGCCCTGGTACATGCCAGGAACAGCTGGACTACGCATCTGCACACTCACATCTGATATTTCCTGAGGGTCCAGAGACCGCACCATTACCATGTTCACATGACCAAACTGATCCCCGCCCACATACTTCAGACACACACCTGGGGGCCACGACTCTGTACCTGCAATACATCAAGACAGGAATGACAAAAAGGGGATTTACTGCAAGGTGACTAGACAAAGCAAAATCAGGTAAACTTTACTATAAACTTTAATTTAAACAAGTTAATTAAAATAAGTATGTAATAAAAAAGTACAGACAATAAATAAAAGTGCTAGATATGTTAAACAAAAAATGATAAATATATTTTGTCAAGAATACAACAGAAATTAAAATTAAGTGCATCATGGACAAATTCAATCATCATGTTTGAATGGAAAACATCAAAATAAACTAATTATGTTAAATATTGTACTCCCAAACGTTCACGCATTTGTCGTTCCATGTTTATTAAATAATATTAATAAATAAAGTATGTAGTATGGAATAGAGAGAAATCAAATACATACCTTTGCATTTTTTAACAAAAAAGTTGTTAATTAAAGTTCTTATTTGTGGTCATCATTGCCTTTTGCATGAGCATTTTATTTAACAATATGTTTTATTAACCTATTGAATAAAACATTTTTGTAATATGCTGTAACATGTTAAATGAACCCCTATTTTTACATTGGTGTATTATTTAGGGATGTTCCGATTCCCTTTTCTCTACCCGATACTGATTCTAATAGCTCAGGGTATCGGCTGATACTGAGTACTGAATCAATACCTGAGTGTATATCTATAGAAACAGTTGTGTATACGACTAATACTAGCCCTGTATAAATTTACAGAATTAGTTATCTGTGTGCTTCAGACTTATCCATTAATAAAACATGGACATATTCATACAGTAAACTAGAATATTCTTATCATCTGAAATTTTTATTTTATTTACTGTATTTGATTGATGTAATGTAATGTAATGTATTTTTTATTTAATGCCATGTCAGCAACCAAGGCTATCTTCATGGCAGGAATCTTTCAACAATAAATATACAATTTAAAAATCAACAACCAAAATAAAACATAAATTAAATAAGATTTTTTGTGTTAATACATGATAAAAATTCTAAAATCTTTTCTGGTTCCACTTTGTCAAAAATGTCCTTAAAAGAGTTCATTTCATAAAAAGTCCTTCTGGAATCAGTAAAAGCAGGACAGTCCAGTAAATTATGTTTTACAGTGATAGGAGTTTTGCAGCACAAACACTGAGTGGGGTTTGTATTTGATTGAAACACACACACACACACAAACATGTGTGCGTGTGTGTATATATATATATATATATATATATATATATATATATATATATATATATAAATATATAATGAATTACATAAAAAAATAACCTCTCCGGGTTTTGCATTGGTAATCTAAGCTAGTGGGCATGTGTCTTATCAAAAACTATGGGATCGGATTGGGTTTATGGTTTCAAATACTTGCCGATACTGATGCCAGATGCACTTTTTGTCGTATCAGCTATTACTGCAGTATTTCCAATACTAGTATCATAACAACCCTAGTATTATTATACCCGTAAAACTAAAAATATATATACACAAACATTTACAATTAATTTCAACATTAAATGCCCACTAGTAGCCAAAAGCATTGGTATAATGTCTAATTTTTGCACCTCCTCAAAAATAGCACCATTCATATACAAGCAAAAGAAGACAACACTGACCTGTGTTCTGTATCCTCCATGTCTTTGTGAACGGTGTGTCAGGAGGAACAGACTCCCCCTCTCCAATCGTCACGTCTTCCACAAAAGACATTGACGGCGTGTTGATGTTTGGACTCTCAAAGTCATAATAAGCACCAATAGCTGCTTGAAGGTTCCTGATAAGACATGAAGGCAGACAGATCAACAAAGGAGATTTAAAGACTATTTAATAACCAAGAGCTAAATAGCATGAACATTTATATAAGACAAATCAAATAGGCATGAGTTTGAGACATCAACAGACCCTCAACTCACATTCAGCCATTAAGCAGATAGTTTATCTATAACGAAAACATCTGTCACAGAGCTTATAATATGCAATATTATTGAGCTAAAGTTGGTTTTATATTCACGCATTCGTTCATTTTTTAACAGATAACTTGTCTTATGTTGTATTGTTGCTATAGTATATGCTACTTTGAATACTGGGTCTGAAATCGCATGTAAGAATGACCCTAAAACAGCATTGGTACCATTTAATTGACAGTGAACAATGTTGTACTTTGATTGTTATTAGCTGCTGATGGGACTTACCTATTTAGAATTTGCAAGGAATACTTTTCAGAAATTGTATTATTAAGAAGAATGTCAGTGTATGAATATAATACCAACTTTACCCCAACTTCAAAATTAGCAATGGCAAGTTTATAAGATAGCTAACTAGGGACTTCATGGAAGCTTGACATACAGCTCATGTCAGTCCCAAAGCTACCAACTCAAATCTAAATATATAGATAGAGATAGGTATTAAATATTATGTATGAACATGATGGAATACGCCTTTAAAGTAAAATGAAATATTTTTTTTAATGTTATTGCTTAAATCCAAGAATAATTTGCACTTATCAAAAAAAGCTGTTGAGAAAATTGAGGTTTTGTTTATATTTGCACATGCGTTCATTTTTGAACAGTGACACTGTAGCTATAGTTTACCATACTACTTTTAAAAAAATGATCTGAAATCACAAGCAAGTATGACTTTAAAACAACATTAGCTCTATTTTTATGACTGTAAACAGTGTTGTACTTTGATAGTCATTGGCTGCTCATTTGATTTTACGATTTAAATTTAGCAAATAATACTTCACTAAAATAATATTATTAAGGAGGAAGTCTGAATGTGTGAATATAAAACCAACTTTGCCCCGAAGGCACGTCAGTCCCAAAGCTACTGACTAACTCAAATATATGTATAGATAGATAGAGATCGGTATTACACATTATATCTGGACATGATGGAATAAAATAGCAAGCTTGCACTTTTAAAGTTCTGCCATAAAATATTTTACGTTTTATTGTTTATATCCAAAAATAATTTGCACATTTGAAAGAAGCTATGGAGAAAGTTGAGGTAAAGTTGGTTTTATATTTGCACATGCATTCAATTTTGAACAGTGACACGGTAACTATTTTGTTTACTACGCTACTTTAAATATTCGGTGTGAAATAGCATGCGAGTATGACTTTAAATCTACATTAGCACTATTTATGTGACTGAACAGTGTCGTACCTTGGGAATCATTGGCTGCTGATATGATTTCACTTTTGAGAATTAGCAAAGAATACTTTTCTGAAATTATATAATTAAGGAGAAAGTCCAAATTTATGAATATTAAACTTTACCCCAACTTCAAAATTACCAATGGCAAGTTTATAAGATAGCTAACCTGGGACTTCATGGAGGCTTGACATACAGCTCATGTCAGTTCCAAAGCTACTAACTCAAGTCTGAATATATAGATAGATATAGGTATTAGACATTATATATGGAATTGATGGACTACAATAGCAAGCATGTGCCTTTAAAGTTTCGCCATAAAATAATTAAACCGTTTCTTTAGTTTATTTCCAAGGTTAATGTTTCAGAAGCTGTCAAGAAAATTGAGGGAAAGTTGGTTTTATATTCGCTGGGCTTGGGCGGTAATAAGGTATACGGCAGTATCTACAAATAGCAACAGTATCAGTTTCAATACCGTTATACATCATAAAAAACAATATATATATATTAGACAATGATTGAATATTAAATATAATTTTTAATGCCTAAAAATGCATGGTTGTCATAATGGGACAGAATGGAGGAGAAATAGAGAGGTAGAGGACGATGGCGAGTCAAGCAACAAGTAACCTGGTCACAAAAAAAGAATACAACTTCTGCAGTTTGACAGTATTTCGGGTTTCGACCGAACCAAAAGGGAGACGCGGTAAATACAGATTAAACAATTTTGCAAATGTGCAACAAAAAGGTTCAAAAATGGACTGTTCATTAGAAAACCTGTACTGATACAATGACATATTACTAGGCAAAGAAAATGATCTCTTTCCACTCAGTAGAAAAAAGGTAAAATATACTTAATTTGTGCGCATGTTTCTGCGCCAAAACTGTTCTGGATGTTTATGTTAATTTAATTCTGTTTGACTGTTGTATTTGCACTTTTTAATAAACTGCTATTTGTTGCGAATAAAAGTAGTTATTATAGTTGTGAATGTTATTTTGTTATGCTTTCAGTTTTAGTGTTTGGTATTCAGTTTCTGAACAGTTTAGGCACAAGCCAATAGTTTGGAGATGCTGTCTGAGCCTTATGTCATAATTTTTTAATTATTCACAGTAGTACCGTATACCGAGGTAAAATAGGGTGGACTTGGTTAGACGGTATCAAAATTTCGATACCGCCCAAGCCTAATATTCGCACATCCATCCATTATTGAACAAGGACACGGTAACTAGATTGTTTACCATGCTACTTTAAGAATTCGGTCTGAATGAAAGTATGACTTCAAACAATGACTGTAAACAATGGTGTACTTTGATATTCATTGGCTGTTAATATGATTTCTCTATTGAGAATTGGCAAAGAAATCTTTTATGAAACTATATAATTATGGAGAATTTCCAAATGTGTGAATATAAAACCAATTTCACCTCAATGTAGAGAAAATAAAGTCATGTTCAAAACAAAAGAAGGGAGGGACAAAGTTGTGTTGGCCTGAGTGCAAGACCTCAGATGAAAGTACACTCGTGTATTACGTAACTCTGAAGAAAACTTTACAAAAGCCCTCCCGTTACAACAGACAACAAATGTACACATAAAAGCAACAAATAAACATCCAATAAGCGCTTATTATAACCGAAACCAATATATTACTCTCAATGAGCAGAACTGTGTTTTGGAAGAGTCGTGACTGAGCAACATTAGACAATGTCTGTGTTTCAAAACACTGTGAGCTCCCTATCTATACAGCCCTTTAAATGCATGGTCCCTGTCAGCAAAGGTAAGTCAGTAATACCCCGAAATGCTGTTTACATAGGGAACTCTCAAGGTTTTAAAACACAGCCAGTGTAGTAGCGAGATGCTAACCCAAACAAGCTACATGTTTGACACCTGAAATAAATAAAACCGCAGCGTTCTTTGAGAACAATTTATAGGGAAATTTATTTACTGATACTATCTGTCTAAATTATAACTTATACAGTGCACGTGAATCGAAACACTACATTTGCTGTGTTTGTAAACAGTCATTTAGCCATTAGCTTGTTGTGGTTTTCGCCTCAGCACCATTTAAACTCCACTGTGCTTGTGACAGCTGTTGTCGCGATGCTATTTTTGACATGCAAGACACTTTAAAGCAAGAAATCGCAGTGGTGAACTCGTTGAGTTCAGTTGAGCAGTAGGCCGCGGCCGAGTCCTCGGACTCACCAGTTGGTCATGTCCAGGAAGAAGGCGCAGCCAGCCGGGTTGAGCTGAAATCCCAGCAGCCTCTGGAACTCCGAGATGAGGACATCTTTATCCGTGGTGCCCATGCAGCTGAATTTTTGCATGAGCTCCTGATCCAGGTCTATGTCCATGCCCTCCATGAGCATGCGGCTATCCCGGGGATAAGTTTTAATTGAGTCCGAGGCCTTCTCCAGTCATAACAAGCGACCCGATAACAAGCTCAGTACGCATGGCTGCGGGCGGGGGCGTGACGTCACGCGCGACGTAACCGTGGCGCAGCTGAACGTCAGCTGTTGCTATTCGGCGCGTCGTAATCTGGATCTTTCTTGTGATATCTCCTCCAACTGTTCCTTTTGTGATGATTGTTTTGAAACCATTGTTCATCTTTTTTGGTACTGTCCATTTACAAGAATATTTTGGAAAAATGTCTTGAATTTTATTCGAAGTAAAATTTATAATGAATGTACCCACATAGCAAAATTTCTCTGGCCCAGCTCTGGCCCACACAATCAGGTTTTGCTTGGCCCACATGCCGCAGTGAATTACGGTACATGACTGGACCAAATCTGGCTTCCAGACAAGGGCCAAACACAGACCATATCTGGGCCAAGTCTCAGCCAAGTTAATAACTCATAACTGGGCCTGAACTGGGCCAGATAGGTTGGTGTGTCACGATTGCAATGAAATTGATAAACCCATGGAGTGATGCGCTTTAGGCACACTATGGGCACGCTTTTTCTCAAAGTGACCTGATTGGTAGATTTTTTTTTCTTTACTCAAAAATGATTTTAGTGTATTTTAAATGTGGGTCAAGACTGGCCAAACTCACATGGCCCACTTATCAAATTTTTAAATCTGGGCCAAATATTACGTTTTTCATCTGGCCCAAACCTTGTGTGCCGCCTTAAAGACGGTGCCACCTCTGCCAAACCCAGGCCATGTTTGGCCCACATGCTGTATGCCAGTGCCGGATGAATGCCTGCTGTGCCAGCTTTATGCCAAATCTGGGCCAGAATTCTTTGCTACTAGGGTACTTTGTATTAGAAAGATGTTGTATTGGGCTTTACTGAGTATGAACAACCTAAAAGTAAACAGTTGTATGTGGTGAACCTATTTTTGCTGCTAGCTAAATTTCACATTCATAAGTCAAAATTCTCTAACTCCAGACCTATGTTTGTGGTTTTTCTGAACGAATTTAAACAGTACCTTTCATTGATTCAATTGTCTCATAACAAAAAGGCTCTGAAAACTTTAACTGTCTGCAGTTCTTTCCCTATGTTTAATGAGTAGATTTTGCCTTTTCAATATGTATCTTTTATATACCCCCTGTGTTTAGCTGTTTCTTCATCTTTTTTTGTTTGTTTTTTGCAGTTTTTCTTCATTGTTAAAGATGATAGTTGTGCCTATGTGGTGATGTATGTATAAATTGTATGTTTATGGGCTTAATAATAATTATAAAAAATCTGGATCTTTCTTGAAACACGTTCTCTGCGGTAAGAAAGCTGAGGGTGGTTTTGACTTGATTGATTTTTTTACATCAATTACACTTCCAAAGTAAATTGGATTAAAAACTGTTAATTCCCCAGATTCGATTTGGTACTTTATCCCACATAATATTTATAAAAAGATTGGAGGTCTCAAATTTTTGTTAACTTGTAGTTTTTCTCCATCCAAACTTTCTATAAAACTCTCTAAATTTCCTAAACAGGCTCTTTTGGCATGGAAATTATGTTTCATTTACAATTTCTCCCCACACAAAGTGAAGCTATTGAACAACGAAAGCATCTTAGTAAAGAATAAATCGATTTTTTTTTAAAATAAGATTATCATTAAAAAGATATTGATTATTTTTGTGATTTACTTGATTCACAAGGGAACTTCTATTCATATGGTGATTTTATGGTTAAATATAATTTCCCTGTTATTCAAAAATAATTTTAGACTGTGATTAAGGCCATACCTAATGGCCTTGCTCATTTAACGAAACGCCACTTGTCATTTGAAGTGATTGTTAAAAAAGAACCAAAGTTTTTAGTTGAAGACAAATGCATTTACGATATAAAATGTAGTAATAAAATTATAAGAAATGTGTTTCAGTCAATGAAAAGAATCACTCCAAGGGGAAACTTTCTTTGGAATTCTCTAATAGATCAAATTAATTGGAAGAAAAGCTTGGCTCTTGCCTTACAAATTTTGTGTCCCCAACAAAGTTGAAGAATTACATTTAAAAGTGTTACACAATATCTACCCCACAAATGAGATGGTATCTAAATTTGGTAATCCTAACTCAGATTGTGTCTTCCGTAGCTCAAGCATCAAATCAATTAATCATCTTTTTGTCAAATGCCCACATGTTATTATGTGTTGGTCTGATTTATCCGTCTATTTTTCATCAAAATGTAAGTTTAATATCCTTTTTTTCATGTGTGATATAATTTGTTACTTTTCTCATGACAAACACAATAGAATTTATAGGCAATTTATTTATTTTATTGAGTAAATATTATATTCACAAATGTAAATTTTCTTCATCATTCCCTAAGTTGCATAATTGTCTTTGTGACTTAAATTGATGGGATGGAAGGGCATTCGCTGCATAAAACATTTGTTGGAATAGTTGGCTTTTTATTCTGCTGTGGTAACCCCTGATAAATAAGGGACTGATAAATAAAGGAAAAAAGACCAGTGACGAGATGATCCCAAGGTTTCCATGATCCTGGACCAGGCCGTATCCTGAGCAGCTGCTGTGGTAGTCATGGAGGAGTGGAGAGCATGAGACTGATTCCTGTGACGCTCCAGGGACAGACGAGTCTTCGCTGAGGCCAGCTTCCAGCCTCCACTGCTGAGACTGCAGCTCTGCACAAGACGTTTGGCCAGCGGAGAAATTTAAATGGTAGTGCCCAACTGAGTCTGATTTCTCTCAAGTTTTTTTTATTCACTTTCTCCAATCAGTGAAGTTGTTTTTCCCTCTCTGCTGTCGCCAGTAGCTTGCATGGTTTGGGATCGGTAGAGCTATGCATTGATGGATTTGTGTTTAGGCCCTCAGTAGTGATTATTAAACCACACTGAACTGAGCTGAACTGAAATTAAACACTAAATACTGAACTACACTGTTCCAATTTACTATGATCTTTTATGTGAAGCTGCTTTGACACAATCTACATTGTAAAAAGGGCTATATAAAAAAGTTGAATTGAAAATGAATGAATGAATATTTATTTATTTTTACCCCTGGCAACTTATACTTTGAATGTATGCTGTTATTTCTCTTTCTCTGATTTTTATTTTGTTTTATTTTTTCATTTGTTGTCAGATGTATTTGTTTGTACATATTTCACAATAATAATAAAAAATCTGAATCTTTAATTCAGAGCAGCAGCAGTAATATCATTGTGCCATAAGGAAAAATAACATGTAAACAACAATTGTAAAATGTAACCACATACAGTACGCCGAGGTACTTTAAAGAACAAGTCCAATAATAAGCCAGTGTATTTCTGTGGTACAAGTAGGAAACACCTAATCAGCAAAAAAGTACTAAGGCCGTTATTTGCTGAATATTTTACTGTAGGGTTATAATGGTTTTTGAACATGATTTGATTTGTGCGCACTTAATTCAGCATAGTGTGTTTATTTTGATATAGATTTTCTTTCTAAAACTGCAGAACTGCTTTTTAATTATGCAACTTAGAAATGCAAATTATAATTAAATAAGGCATATTACACTTAATCTTTTAGCAGATGCCATAATAATTGTTTCGAAAGTACACGCAGTACCTTATGATTTATGCACATGTTGCAGCACAATATTATTTTGTATAATGCACTGCATATTTAGGATTTAAGTTTGATCTAACACAAAGAAAAGTTTATACAAGTATGCACAAAACACCTGAATTTAAATGAACTCAACTGAAATAAAATTAAACGTATCATTGTATATAATTAAATATATTATTGTGTTTAATGCAAAGACACTGCCATATTCAGGGTGATTTATTTATTTATATATTTTTATTTGCTTGTTTATTTTACAGGGACAATACACTTGACATTGTTATACAGAGATAACAGATGTTGCTTACATAGGGCATATAGCATATGCTAATTTGCAAGTCGGCACATATTTAAACATCAGAGCTTTGAATTTGATGCGAGCAGCAACTGGCAGCCAGTGCAAACGGATGAGCAGCGGAGTGACATGTGCTCGTTTAGGTTCATTAAAGACCACTCGTGCTGCTGCATTCTGGAGCAGTTGAAGAGGCTTGATAGAGTTAGCTGGAAGCCCGGCTAGTAGAGAGTTGCAGTAATCCAGTTTGGAGAGAACAAGAGCTTGAACAAGGAGTTGAGCAGCATGTTCAGATAAGAAGGGTCGGATCTTTCTGATGTTATAGAGTGCGAATCTGCACGATCGAGCAGTTCTAGAAATGTGGTCAGAGAAGTTTAGTTGGTCATCAATCGTTACTCCAAGGCTTTTCACCATTTTGGATGCAGTAATGGTTGCCCCATCCATCTGGATTGAAAAGTTATGGTGTAGAGTCGGGTTGGCAGAAACTACAAGCATTTCCGTTTTTGCGAGGTTCAGCTGAAGATGATGATCTTTCATCCAGTGTGAAATATCCAACAGGCAGGCTGAGATGCGAGCTGGAACCGAGGGATCATCAGGATGAAAAGAGAGGTATAGCTGGGACACCAGACTACTTTACGGGGAAGACCATGTATACACTTAAACATGGTTTTAAAAGCATTAAGTTACAAATTACATTAGAAAATCCACATTTTGTTTTAGTTTTCTAAAATGTAATGTTTAAATATGCAAATGATGCATTGTTTAATTAAATATGTGCCGACTTGCATACATTTCTTCAAAACTCTGAATAATTTAATGAATTCTGTCATTTTTTTTGTAGAATAAAATGTTGTAGAAAACCAGGCAAATTATATATAAACAAATCTCCCTGTAAAAAACTTCATTATATAGAAAAGAGTAAGTCTGGAGTGTATGTACATGCTGAAGAAGACTTTTGTTTTTGTTTTTCAGCATCTTGCTTTAACAGTTTTAAGCCATGGTTATGCATGCTTATAAGTGTCATTTGCTCAGTTATGTCATTTTAAATGCAAAGATGACATTGTCTGTTATGACAACTTTACATAAAAGTACATCACAACTTGTTTTTGTCATTGTCATGGCAACTTGACATTACCAAGACAACAAAACTTGTCATAATTGTCATGATGCCATTATAAATATGTCATACATTTTATAAGATCATCATTAATATATATATATATATATATATATATATATATATATATATATATATATATATATATATATATATTTTTTTTTTTACCTCAACTGCAGAGATACAAGCAGACTCTGTCATTAAAATGTCATTACATATTAATGACGCTGTTAAATATGATTTGAAAGAGTAATGACACTTTTAATGAGACATTGTAATGACAAATACAATTTATACCACTGAAAACATGATCAGAAAATCCTGACACTTATAATGCCTCATGACAATCATGTTTATGGCAGATTTATGACTGTTCTCTTGGTAATGTCAAGTTGTCATGACAAAGACAAAAACAAGTTGCAATGTATTTACTTATGTCAAGTTGTCATAACAGACGTCATCTTTGCATTTACATTGACATAACTGAGCAAATTATAACAACAGTCGCTATGAGCATGCAAGAAATCTCATCCACATTCATCATGAAGTGTCATATCATGATTGTAAAGGTTTATTACAGTCTTAAGAACACCCCTTCAAGTAAAGTGTAAAGTTGTCATAACAAATAATGTCATCTTTGCATTTAAATGATATAACTAAGCGAATGACACTTAATGTCAGTTGTTATAAGCATGCATAAAATTGCATTCATATTTATTACATGTGTCATATCATGATTATAAAGGTTTATGACAGTCTTAAGAACACCCCTTCAAGTAAAGTGTAAAGTTATCATAACAAGTAATGTCATCTTTGCATTTAAAATGTCATAACAGAGGGAATGACACCTAACAGTTAAAAGCATGCATACAATCTCATTCACATTCATGCTGTGTCATATCATGATTATAAAGGTTTAATGACAGTCTTAAGAACACCCCTTCAAGTAAAGTGTAAAGTTGTCATAACAAATAATGTCATCTTTGCATTTACAATGACATAACTGAGCAAATGACACTTAACAACAGTTGTTATAAGCATGCATAAACTCTCATTCACATTCATGACATGTTATATCATGATTATAAAGGTTTGATGACGGTCTTATGAACACCCCTTCAAGTAATATGTAAAGTTGTCATAACAACCAATGTCATCTCTGCATTTAAAATGACATAACTGAGCAAATTATACTTAATGACAATTGTTATAAGCATGCATAAAATCTCATTCACATTCATGACATGTTATATCATGATTATATAGGTTTAATGACAGTCTTATGAACATCCCTTCAAGTAAAGTGTAAAGTTGTCATAACAAATAATGTCATCTTTGCATTTACATTGTCATAACTGAGCAGATGACACTTAACAACAGTTGCTATAGGCATGCATAAACTCTCATTCACATTCATGACATGTTATATCATGATTATAAAGGTTTAATGATGGTCTTATGAACACCCCTTCAAGTAATATGTAAAGTTGTCATAACAACCAATGTCATCTCTGCATTTAAAATGACATAACAGAGCAAATTTTACTTAATGACAATTGTTATAAGCATGCATAAAATCTCATTCCCATTCATGACATGTTATATCATCATTATAAAGGTTTAATGACAGTCTTATGATCATTCCTTCAAGTAAAGTGTAAAGTTGTCATAACAAATAATGTCATCTTTGCATTTACATTGACATAACTGAGCAGATGACACTTAACAGCAGTTGTTATAAGCATGCATAAACTCTCATTCACATTCATGACATGTTATATCATGATAATAAAGGTTTAATGATGGTCTTATGAACACCCCTTCAAGTAATATGTAAAGGTGTCATAACAAACAATGTCATCTTTGTATTTAAAATGACATAACAGAGCAAATTTTACTTAATGACAATTGTTATAAGCATGCATAAAAAACCCTTTCCCATTTATGACATGTTATATCATGATTTAAAAGGTTTAATGACAGTCTTATGAACATTCCTTCAAGTAAAGTGTAAAGTTGTCATAACAAATAATGTCATCTTTGCATTTACAATGACATAACTGAGCAAATGACACTTAACAGCAGTTGTTATAAGCATGCATAAACTCTCATTCACATTCATGACATGTTATATCATGATTATAAAGGTTTGATGACGGTCTTATGAGCACCCCTTCAAGTAAAGTGTAAAGTTGTCATAACAACCAATGTCATCTTTGCATTTACAATGACATAACTGAGCACATTTTACTTAACAACAGTTGTTATAAGCATGCATAAACTCTCATTCACATTCATATGATTCATATATCAATCATGATATGACATGTGTCATATCATGATTGATAAGGTTTAACGGCAATCTTAAGAACACCCCTTCAAGTAAAGTGTTACCAAATCGTCTTTAGTGTTCTACTTGGGGGAAAAAGTGACCTACATCTTGGATGACCAGAGGGTGAGTATAAATGAACAGATGTATGCACTGTGTCGGCATCATGGTAATGAACTGTGCACATACTCTATTCTGCATAATTGTAATACATGCATCGCTGTTATTTCAGATCTTTTTTTTTCTGAGCATGACCCCACTACTTGCAACATATAAAGTGAAAAGCCAGGCCCACCAGCCCGTCTGAGAATCTCAGTAACCTGATTATCCAGCCTGTCAGTAATAATAAGGCCAGGCCTTGGATCTCGGACCCATCGCTGTGTCAGCCAGAGCAAGATGACGACTGAGAGAACAAAACACAACAGGAGACAAAGACGTGAGTAGCTAAACACAAAGCAAAAAGGTGTGTGTTTTATTTATTTTGTGTGTGTTTCTACTCATTTAAGCATTTAGCAGAATTCGCTTTAGAGATGGGAACGTGGGCTGAGCAGATATTATTCTGGGACATTTGCGGAGCATGTGATATATTTTTGTACAAAGGCATGTTATGTTGGATTATCTTTTAGCATGCAAATGATTCCAAATACAGTTTTTCTCAGTCGCTTTGGTGCGTTTCTCACAACACCTGTGCATTTGTGCACAACAGTTAATGCATTTCTCAAAACAATTAGTACAAACTGCAAAACCTAGCTGATAACCTGCAAAAGCGCGTCACATGCTCAAAATGGATAGTTCATTCCTCAAAAGCAAGTATTGATGTCAATCAAACTGTCAGTATCGTCAAAATGAAAAGTCCTGACACCATTGTTTATGAACAAGATAGTCAAATGGCTGTCATGTTTTCATTATGACGGTTTACTCTGTACATTTTTTCAATGCAAAAAAATTCAGATTTTGGTGACACTTCCTGAAAATGCTCAAGACAGCACTATAGAATATTTGCACAGCCATTTGAAAACTACAGTAAAGTGAGACATCACTGCATTGAGTGAGTTTTCTGAGTACAAGACACTGAATATGTATGTTTCACATTTTTACTGCATTTGCTCTTTGCAATCCTAATTTACTCACAGCATTGTGCAAAAGAATAAACATACCCCTTATTTACAACTAACATAAACTCCCTTTAGGTAGAGCTGTGCACAACTGTACACAATATTGCAGTACATATTGGAACTGAGCCTACAACATACACAGGTCTGTAAATCATTCATCAAACTGTTCAATTTTAAAGACATTTTCAGGAAAATACAGATTTAAATTTGTTTTATAAAATTAGTTTGACAGATTTTGACAACAAGTTCACCATTTGTGTATGTAATGACTCAAGTAATGAAATGAGGACTGTTAGTTTTATATGGAATGACTATTCAGCATTCACAGATTTAGTTCATTTTGACTGACATGACATAAGCAAATGATGATGTTATAAATAGCAGAGAGTTGTATGAAAGCAATTAATACTTGTCCAAACGCATTCACAATTTGTTGAAAGGAATGAGAAACTGCTACTAGGATGTGCACAAATGACTAATTGTTTTGAGAAATGCATGAACTGTTGTGCAAATGTAAATAGTGTAGTGAGAAATGCACCAAAGCGACTGAGAAAAACTGTAGTGAGGTATCTGAGTACAAGACACTAAATATATAGCATTGTGCAAAAGAATAAACACACCCTTATTTACAACAAGCATAAGCTTCCTTTGGGTAAAGCTGGGCACAAGTGTAAACTGTATTGCAGTACATATTGGAACTGAACCTACAACACAGGTCTGTAAATCATTCATCAAATTGTTCAAATTTGAAGACATTTTCAGAAAAACAAAGATTAATTTTTTTAAATAAAATTTGCTAGACAGATTTTGACAACAAGTTCAACACTTGTGTATGTAATGACTCAAGTAACGAAATGAGGACTGTTAGTTTTATATGGAATGACTATTCAGCATTTATAGGTTTAGTTTATTTTGACAGACATGACATAAGCAAATGATAATGTTATAAATAGCAGATAGTTGTATGAAAGCAATTGATGCATGTCCAAAAGCATTTGCAATTTGTTGGAAGGAATGAGAAACTGCTACTAGGATGTGCACAAATGACTAATTGTTTTGAGAAATGTATGAACTGTTGTGCAAATGTAAATAGTGTAGTGAGAAATGCACCAAAGCGACTGAGAAAACTGTAATGTTCTGAATGTACATGGCATTTCTAAATAAATCATTGTACTTATTTAGGGTCTTTAATAGTATCTATCTTTAATAGTAAACTATTTTAATACTCTAACTAACACCATTGTTTCTTTGGCTGTTATTTCAAGCTGAATTATGTGCATTTTTATGTGCGCCATTGAGCGATTTGTCATCAGTCGTTTTAGGGTTGTTTTAGGCTTCAGGCTTCAGAATAGTTTTGCACTGCAGAAAACCAGCAAGTGTGGAAGTGAGTAAAACAGACAAGACTGAAGGAAAGGAGGGAGGGGAAGGAAAGACTCTTGCAAAAAAAAAAAAAAAAACAACCATGGAGTTTCTTGGCAAGGGGAGGGCAAAGGAACACAAACTGTGGGTGGACCTCAGTGACAATGTAGATCTAAACCACGAGTGACCACAGAGGATGTTAGCTGAAGTTTAATTCCATGGATAATACAGGCTTACGCTGATTAATACCAGGTGGACGAGGACTAATAGTCTGCTTATTGCAGGTAAAGAGGATTGCGTTCAGACCCTCAGACAGACCCCTGCCTTGCTGAGCCAGACACAAAAACCTGAACATGTCCAGTCAGAACGTTGGTCAAGCGTCCTATCCGGAGCACATCGAAACTAACGGGTCGTCCGAAGAGGCTCCAAATGGGCGTCTGAAGGTGATTTCCAGATCAGACTCGGACCTGCTGGCTTCCCTTGATTGTGAGGACGTTGGGCCTGTTTTTGGCCAGAGCGACTCTCTGTCTGACTACGCTGCTCAGAGGAAGGAAACGGAGCAGATGCCCTCGCTCGACTCCGAATGGGATGAGGTAGGAGCTGATGAACTGCAGATTAAAAGGGCAGAGGAGTGAGAGCATGAGACTTCCTCTAATCAGATCTCTAAAAAGATGTTTTGGTTTTGTTGTGCACTGTAAAAAAAAAAATCAGGGTTTCACACAATTCATTCAGGTTGTCTTAACATAAATCGACCAAGTTAACTTAACAAAATTCTATTGAACATAACAAAAAGTAGATTAAGCATAAAAAAATTAAGTTGTCCCAAAATAATCTCTTGAATTTGGATTGAAAATAAAAACAAAAGTGTATTGAAGATTAAAAAATTAAGTTTTCCCATAGAAAATCTCCTGAATTGTGTTGTTTCAGCTCATTTTATACAAGTAAATTAGAAAGCAGCTAAATATTTTTCAAGGTGCACTAAAACTCTTATATACATTTTTTTAAGTGCAGTACTGTATGTATGTTTTTGACTTTTTAAAAGCATTCAAAGTAAGTTGGCATGAAACAGAAGTTATGAATTTTCTTTAATCAATTCTCTAAAAATTTAAAGTTGCACGCTGTACATAAAAATCAAGATCCCACACAATTTATTCAGGTTGTCTCAACACAAATCGATCAAGTTAACCTAATAAATTAGGATTAAACATAATAAAAAGTGGACTGAATATAAAAAAATTAGGTTGTACCAAGAAAATGTCTTGATTTTGGATTGAAAATAACAAAGAGTGGCTTGAACAAAACAAACAATTAAGTTTCAAATTAAGTTCCATCTTTAATTGTGTTGTTTCAGCTCATTTTATATAAGTAGATTGAGCAAGCAGCAAAATATTTTTAGGGGGGGTGACTGAATATATATTTTTAAAGGTGCTGTACTAAATGTATGTTTTTGACTTTTAAAAAGCATTAAAGTTATAAAAAATCTAATTTAAATTGTCTCAACACAAATCGATTTAGTTAACTTAACAAGGTAGGATTGAACTTAACAAAAAGTGGTTTGAGCATAAAAAATTAAGTTGTCCCAAAAAAGCTCTCGAAATTAGATTGAACATAACAAAAACTGGATTAAAGATAAAAAAATAATATTTGTCCTTAAGAACTCTCATGAATTGGATTGTTTCAGCTCATACAAAATGTTTTTTTGGGGGTGCACTGAAACTCTTCTGTTATTTATTTATTTAAATGTGCTGCACTGTATGTATGTTTTGTTTTGAAAAAATTCAGGGTTCCACACAACTCAATCAGGTTGTCTCAACACAAATCGATTGAGTTGAACAATCCACCTAAAAAATTAAAGTGTCCCCAAAAAAATTTCTTGAATTTGGAACGAAAATAAAAAAAATTGTTTTGAAGATTAAAAAATTAAGTTTTCTCATTGAAAATTTCTTGAATTGTGTTGTTCCAGCTCATTTTATATAAGTAGATTGAACAAGCAGCTAAATATTTTTTTAGGTGCACTAAAACTCTTATATACATTTTTTTAAGTGCAGTACTGTATGTATGTTTTTGACTTTTTAAAAGCATTCAAAGTAAGTCGGCATGAAACAGAAGTTAAGAATTTTCTTTAATCAATTCTCTAAAAAGATGTTTTGATTTGAAGTTTGCACGCTGTAAATAAAAATCAAGATGTTTCAGCTTATATTTTAAAAGTAGTTTGTACGAGCAAAATGTTTTTTTGGGGGGGGTGCACTGAAATTCTTCTGTTTTTTTTTTTTTTTTGTGCTGCCCTGTATGTACGTTTTGTTTTGAAAAAATTCAGGGTTCCACACAACTCAGTCAGGTTGTCTCAGCACAAATCGAATGAGTTCATTCAACAAATTTAAGTGGATTGAACCATGCAGGTCAGGTAGTTGAAGCAGTGGCTACAAATAATGATTTCATTATGAATTAATGAATTATTCATAAATAATTAATTCACTGCGCCTTATGATGACGATGCCATAATCCATCGCGATGTTTCACATTGGGCATCGTACAATGCTAAATTGGTCGACATCGCCCAACCCCACAACCAAATACAAAAACTACATTTGCACAGTAAACACAAGAAGTGCTAACTATACAGAGGAACTGTTAGTGCTCCAAAAAATTAAGTGCTAGAGTATGTGTTTTTGATAGAGAGATAAGTGTTTCTACAGGTGGTTTGTCAAGCCCACTCACCTGTATGAATGCACAATGTTCTTTTATTTATTTATTTATTATTTTTTAAAGATGTTGAGTGACTGTAAGAAAGTGTCTGGTGCAAATGTGCTCTAAGGAATGGCGATTTACCTACTGCAGTTCGAACTGTAGTTTTACCCAATTACTAAACAGTTATCAGTATGATGGTGAAAAACTGTACATTTCTAGTCAAACCATCCATTTTATACCAAAAACAGAAATAAGGGAAGTTATAATAGCTTAAAATGTGGGAGAGCGTTGCTATTATGTGATTGTATTGTATTGCAATATGGAGTGTTGATGACAACTGTTGATGTCAGACATCCCAAGTTGGGAAAAGTCATTTCCGGGAGATACAGAGTTGATTTGCGGGAGGTAGCGCATAGTGGGTGTTTGAAGAGCGAGAGGGAAGGGGGGGGGGGTGTTGCGTTGAGTGAGCGACGTATCTGGGTAGGGGGGAGTGTGCGCGTGAGACGTACCCGAAGAGCATAAAGAGCGGTTGGAGTTGCGTGCACGATGCGACATAACATAACCTCAAGAGCAGTGGGAGTGAGTTGCGTGCGATGTACCTGAAGAGCTATGAGGGATGCGGTGGAGAGAGGGCTGTGCAACGTATTTAAGGACCGGGTAGGAAGCGCGCGATTTCCGGGAGATTATCATTCATTTGCGGGCATCCGGGAGTGTCTATGCATTTGAGGGATACTCCCGCAACTTCCAGGAGACTTGGGATGTCTGTGATGTTAAATTATAAGTAAATCACAAAATACTTGAAAATGAAATGATTTAATGACAATAATTAGCTTTAGTTACAACTGAATTTGTTATAAAATAACTATAAAATGATAAACTTGAAATGATAAAAACACATATGATATTAATTGTACCCAGCTTAAATGTAAAATATGGTTACCTGAGAGAGAGAGAGAGGCAGGGGGAGGAAGATAGAGGGAGAGATGAAGAACAGAGAGCAGGCCCCAAAAGAGAGCATAATAGCAGTAGAGGCAGAGAAGAGACTCCAGAGCAGCAGAGGAGGAAAAGAGAAAGAGCAAAGTTTGCCAGCTATTTTGTATCTTTCTTGACCATGTGAACAAAGCCCAAATAAATGACTAAATGTAGATGTAAATGTACCAACCCAGGCTCATTCTGACAACGTAGTCCCGTGGACGTTTCTGGAGACCATGAAATAAGTCCCAGGAGGAACGTATTTTTGCAGCTTTTGTTTTCGCGAATCCACGAGAGGCCGCTGTGTACGCTTTTTCGTTTCTCAAATGTTACGCGCTGTTCTTGCGTAAACCCACCAGAGGCCACTGTCGAACGCCCGTCTGTCTGACTGACTGAATGATTAACTGCGTGACCGGCAACCCAAGCAATTCTACCGTTTGACCCACCTACCCACTTACATCCCCAAACCCAACCAATAATTTACAAAAGCTGTCCAGAAAAAGAAAAGCACTCGTCTGATTTTTACCATATTTTTGGATTTTACCACATTCTTACCCTGTTATAAACGTTCACTTTATTTTTTGGATTCTGTTTTTGTCTTACCTGATTTCTGAAACTGCTCTTCCCTGGACTCGAACCCGGTCATCATCTTCATGGTCAGCTCCTCTCTGCGTCCCAAGTCCGCCGACATACACGACGAACTAACTGGACAAACTATTTGCAGCAGGAAAGCACTCCACACGGAGGTAAGCGGTCAGCCGGTAAGCGCGAAAAGGAACGGCGTCATACCGCCCCATAACATTCGCTTAAGAAATTAAATGCAGCCATATGTACCTCCGTCTACACAATTTACAGTCTCCAGAAACGTCCACGGGACTATGTTTTCCGAATGAGCCCGGTTGCCAAATATAGAGACATACTAACTGACCAATCAACATGTGACCACATCATAAAAGCCACAAGGTACACACAAATCTTAGCCAGGCCCTGATCTTATCATTATCTGCCTTTGGCATTTGTATCAACCTTCTTGGTGAAAAAGACATGTTTTGCCATATAATCAAAAGCATATGATAATTTGCATTCCTACAGTGCAAAACTGGTGCAAGTGTTGGTTAAAGTGTCATAGCCTGCATTTACACCACATGGTTCAAGTGACCTGATTTTTTCCCCCCATGTGGCACAGATGGTATATGGTCCATGTACGTGTAAGCAGGAAAGAATCACATAGATTCCGATTTACTCAAATCAGATTCAGGCCTTGTTCATATGTGGAAATTTATCCGATATGAATCGGATCTTCGTGTCTGCAGTGTAAGCAGGTAGATTGGTTCTTTAAAGATAGCTGTCAAGCATCATTATTGACCGTAGCGAATGACGGATGCTTTCAAGAGTTCACACTTGAAGATTGATAATGAAGCGTGTTTGACATGCTGTCCTGGGAGAGAGCCCTGAGCTCATAGGATCCTCAAGCCTTGGGTTCCCTCCCGTTTGAGGGGGGAGAAGGGAGTTTGAGCTCAGGTAGGTCTCGAGAACTCCCCGGCTTGTGAATGTGTTAGGAATAGCTATGAGACATAGCTGACTAAGAGTTGTTTATGATGCCACTTTGGATTAGTCAGTTAACTTATGTGGCATGTCTTTAGACGGTTGGAGTAAACCGGGAAACCCAGGAAAAACCTACGCAAGCATGAGGAGAACATGCAGACTCTGCACAGAATATATAAGGACTCAAACAAGTGGCATTCTTGCTGTGAGGCAACAGTGCTAATCACTGGGCCGCCATGCCACCCAATCAGGAGTAGGTGGTGGAAGGGGGGATTCTTCAAGACGAAGATGACTGGACCGAAAAACGTTTTATTATTTATGGTGAGTTAGCATTCGTCTAATTGGCCTGATATGAGTAGCTAATGCGGGGCCAGCTGTGATCAATCAT